AGAAGCTGTTTGTGCATTTTTCCCCATATAATCAAAATGGAACCCCAACAAAAACATGACCAGAAATGATATCATTGTTTGGACCCCAGTCTTGAAACTTCTTGTTAAATCTACATAAATCTACTTGGGACTTGTAGCAAATTCCGGACATATTAATATAGTTTCAAATGATTTGGATTGCTATTTGAATAGGATAGTGACAAACCAGACCATCTTGTTTAAAGCCATGATCTTTAACCCACCCATTTCATAGGAATAGCTGGTTGATGGTGTATTGCTTTGATTTCATCATGGGTCGTGCATCTACCTGGTTTATTGAGAACAATGATAAGCCGTAGTGGAGGGGTGCCTCTGAACATTTTTTATGTTATAGTTACAAGTTGAATCAAATAGTATATCTGAATTATCCCATAATTATAGGGTTTTTTTCCATAACATCTCATTTTTTATTGGTATTTCATGGGAGAAAATGGAGCTGTTGTCAGCTCAACACGGCAGATCTGTTCACGAAAAAACACGGCAGGATGCCTGCTTGGTGAACATCCGTTCCTCCGTGGAGTCCCCATCCTACTCCGAAAAAGGCGACCGGGCGTGGTCTGACTATGTACCTATCTATATATCTATATATATATAGAGTGAGTGTATATATATATATGTATATATATATATATGTATATATATATATATGTATATATATATATATGTCTAGATATACATCTGCGTGTGTATGTATAAATATATACATGTATATACATATATATATATATATACATATACTTATACTGTACTTATATGCATATGTACATGTGTATATATTATAATAAAGCTAGGTAGTGCGGTAGAATACATCAACATGTATTTTATATATGTATACACAAAAATACACATGCATATGTAAATGTGAACTATTCTATGCATATACTGAGTGCAAATACGTACACATGTACTGAGTATGGATGTAGTACTGGTAATTTGCATATATTGCAATTATATACACATGTATATAGCTATATGTATGTAGGTTATGTTATGTTATGGTATGGTATGGTATGGTATGTCATGTCATGTCATTTCATGTCATGTGTATATATATATATATACATATTCATATACACATCTACGTACGCATTCTTGTGCGACTGTGCGCCCTTTTCCTCAATTCATGAAAACACCTCAATGCATCCATCCTGGTGATATCGTTTGCCTTTCCAGCCAGTGTAGACTCTATAGGTTCTAAATGCTTTCGTGTCTGGGTCCGTATGGTTGTATCTATGTTATTTTATAATTTTATTTGTTCATAAATCGTAGATTAATTTGATTTGATTTGATTCCATTCGATTCGATTCGATTCGATTTGAAAGATAGATGGCTAGATGGAAGCTGAAGGATACATACATCAGATTGGGTTGATCGGCTCAGTCAGATAGGATTAGATCAGATCATATTGGATCAGATCAGATCAGCTAGATACAAACACAGACCCATGTACATACACAGACACATTGACATGCATTAGTGCGTCATATTCAGCACTCTGTACCTGGGCCCCTTTAGCCATCGATCAGATGGCGGCTTGGATATCTGGATTTCTACATCGGATCATGTTCGCCTTTTTTGGGGATGGATTCCTGAACTGGGATATATCATACGTTTCGAAATGTCTGCTGTACATCATATGTATGTGTGTAATTGTGTGTATGTATATGGTCCCGGCCAGCGGCCGGCAACCCTCCGGAATGCTATCCCCACCAGCAACCACCCCCATTGGGTGGCCTAGCCACGTGGCTACACCCTGCATAGAATCTATTTACAACGTATTACTGCCCATAAAGCACTTTATTTTAAAATAGTAACCATACACTAGCAACTGTCAAGATCATTTTTGCTATACAGTACATATGTGCTACCCACGTACCACTTATGTACTACCTACATGATACCTGCAGGGTTCACTACCTGAATGCCCATACAATACAATCTATTTACAGCCTATTACTGCCTATGCAGTGTCTTCATAGTAGCCATGTACTAGCTACTGTGAAGATCTCATATGCTATACATACGTGCTAGCCATGTGTTACCTATGCCTATACTCTATCTACATGGTACCTCCATAACACCCCACCCATTCCACGGGGGGGGGCATGGAGCATGCTAGCATATGCTAGCTACCCACTTTTTGCCTTACATGAAAGCGACACACTACCTAGCCCCCACCCATCCCACAGGGGGGGCGGGGTGTGTAAACTATACTATATCATACATAGAGCCTCCTATATAAAGCCTGCATACAGGACCATAACCATGACGTGGCGGGGTGGGAGGGTTGGCCTGGGCCATATATATATGATTATATATATGTCGATTTAATTTATATATATATATATACGGTAGCACCATTTAAATATATGGAGGGCAGGCCAGACCACGCGGTCCCGGAGGTAGTATGAAATACCATTTCCGTTCGTATTTCCACATGGCTGTTCTCATATTTGGAATTCGTATATTGAAATGGCAGGGCGGGCCAAGGAAAATCTTCCCGGAGGTAGTCGTTACGGTACCAGTTCGTATATGTTAAAATCCGTATTTTTAAATGTAGTTACCGTGTATATATATATACTGGTTGGTGGTTTGGAACATTGTTTTTTCCCCATAATATATGTTGATAATCATCCCAACTGACTAATATTTTTCAGAGGTGTTGAAACCACCAACCAGATATAATATATTACATACACAAGAAAACATCAATGGACATATTGTGGGGATCTTCCAGACCTTGAGCCCTCGAGGAGACTCCTTTGCCTTGACATGGCCTATGGGACCCCTGTACTGCGATACCGTCATAAATCCCAATGTTTGTTGTATTTTCTAATTGTTGATGGTTAACATCAGTTGTATCACCAATTTGTGTTGGTTCAATCCCTATTTTGTAGCCGCTAAAATCCCAGTGCCTAATAGTTGCCAAAATCCAAAGTCTTAATCATGCAATGGCTAGAATGAAAAAACATGGTAAACATGTAAAAACCTGAAATATTGATTGCCAAAAAGACAGGTCTTAATGGCAACAAACCAAAGTCTTATGTAATGGCTTGTTTTTTTCCTTGCCTAGAATCACCATCATTGGGTTCCCCTCAGCTGAAACCGGCCTTCAGTTTCTCCGCCGAAGAGACAGTTCAACAGCTCTCTGAGTTACGCCGGTGATGTGGCTCCTGGGTTAAGCAGATTTCAGGACTGAAACTCCGATAAGTGGGTAACGTTTTATGGATCTTTAAGTGACACCCCAAAAGGCGACCCCGCTAAAGAATAAGGTCTTCTCAAGGGCTTAACCACCAACCACAAAAAATGCGGGCCTATCAACCATCCAATGTTTTTAGGTCAGCTGTGGGGGAGGTGGTTGAATCCAGATGACACTTGAGCCATTGTTGGTGGATTTATTTTGGTGAACATTCCATCCATCGAGCATCTGAGGGGATATGAATGTAACTTGGGCCACTGGGTGCACCAAAAACAATTGGTTTCCGCACCAGAAATGACAACTATGGGGTCTCCAATGCTAAGACACATTCAAAGCAGGATACCACACTTGCCAAGGTCAATCCCTTGGGTGATGTGTTAAAACTCGATTGAAACAACTATACCCCACAAGTGGGTGTTACTACATGGGTGTACGGTGTACCACGTTAGCTCATAGCCACGAGAATATCACCAAATTCATCCCAATTTCTCCCAGTACATTGTATATGAATTATATTTCACCTGTGTTGAATTATCAATGCAACAACAGTATAAATCTAAACATCCTTTGGTCCGGTAATCAAACATGGCTAGCTACAAACATCACCATTTAGTTCCATATCTTTCCCAGCGATAAACCTTCATTTATGGGGGATTTTCCCATCAGCCACGTTTGATGACACCGGTTGATCCACCGTCCCTACTTGCATCTTTCCAGGATGGAGACAGCAGAATATTTTTTTCCTAGCCTTGGAATGTTTTTTGTTGGGCGATACCCCAAATGTCATTGTCATGGTGTGAAATTGTCATGACCAATTGATCAGCAATGAGATTTTGCGTGACACAGATTTCAATCCCATGCTTTTTTGCATGATGAAATATGATTTTGCGTGAGTCGCATGTTGCCCACAGAAGCATAAGTTGTCTTTGCGGCTGAAAACCATGGGCAACATAGAGGCCCTTCCGTACCCTTTTATCATAAGTGGAATGACTTTTGGAGTTTCCGATTTCATGAGTGTTTGTAGATGCTTTGTATCTCCCGCAATCACCACATATATATATATATTATATATATATATATTATATATACAAAACACGCCGACACGCACATACATATAACAATATTTACTCTGCATATATAGATAGAGCGGTTGCGGTTTATTTATATGTAATGATTATACTGTATATACATATACTTTGCTTGGATCAGCTGTGGCCTTACTAGTAGGTTAACATGGTTAAGATGGTTAGCTAAGTATTTAGCTAAGGGTGCTAAGTATGCTAACTGTTTGTTTTCTGCATTAAGCAATTGCATTTCAAAATGTAACCCTGCTGGCAAAAAAATGAAAAGATAAAGGATTGTTTCTGGATTCTTTGGAAATGTTTGGCTATTTTTTCTTGATGCGAAGAAACAAATTCATGGCAATCAGTGTTTGGGCATCTCTTTGGATGCTTGCTGGCCAGGCATGCTTTTGACATTTAATAACAGCAGTGTGCTGAGCCATGCAAGGCTTGCAGAAACAAAAGCAGCCATGAGAGGCTTAGCATCATTGAAGCCATGGAAGGCTTGCATGTCAGGTAGCCATCAAGGCTTGCACACATGTGCTGAGCCATGCCAGGCTTGCCAGAAAAAAAGAGCCATAAGAGGCTTATCATCATTGAAGCCATGGAAGGCTTGCATGCTAGGCAGCCATCATGAAAGGCTTGCATCTTGCAGCCAAATGCTTTGCCCTCCCCCAGGCTGCAAGCTTGTTTTGGGCACTTCACCGCAGATGGTATGGGACCAGGGTCATCAATCCAGCCCTGGTTCTTGTATATGTGACAGAACACAAGATGTCTTTGGCTGGCAAAATGCAGATGCCTGCATGTTCTGTCCAATTGGCATTCCCCAAGCATGGGTCATATGTCAGAAGACTGAGTTGATCAGCCAAAGCGAAAGCACATTGTGAAAAGCTGAAATTGACCAAAATCTGGGCTGCATCCCATTTGTTCAAGGCATTGATGAGGACCACATCTCCTTGAGCTGCCAGATTTCCAGAAGACAGCACCAGGTTCTTACTGATAAAGATGTCATTGCTGGTAATTCCAAGGTGCTCTTTCAAAAATTCCTTCAACTTGCAAGGTGCTTTGGATTCTTTTTCCAATGCATTCAGAAGCTTCTGGTTCGACTCTAAGTTGTGGAGCTGCTGGGAAAGAATCTCTGTATACAAGCTGTCCTCAAAAAACTTCAAATTTTGGATCCTGGTTGCCATGGCAGTCACCTCCTTATGCTTTCTCTCCATTGTCCAAGCTGGCAAGAGCATATTGTGGCACTCCAAGGAATCACCATAATGCAAATTCCAATGAAATTTCCTGATACAGAATTGGCCCCATTTGGCAACTTTGAAAAAATGCAAAGTTTCTTCAGCACATTTGTCTAACTGCTGTCCTGACACCACACCATGCTGTGTAGCCAGGAGGAGATCCATCATCTCACAAAGCTTCAAAAAGGCAGTTGTCTCTGGGCCACCAGCACCTTGCTTTTCCATTTTCTGGACATAATGTTGAACAATGGGGTAAACGCACAAAATCTCACTGGCAGGAATCTTGACTTTGAAAGCTTTTCTGTAAGAATCCACTTTGGCAGTTGCAAACAATGAAGGCAAATTGCAGACTTTCTTGAAGGCAGCAGGCAATGTCCATAGGCTGCAATAAGTGCCCATGTTTTTCCAAGACTGCAAGCCCATTGTGTTGAGGTGCTCCAAAACTAGGTAAATACCAATATTGAGACATCCATTGGAGCACATACCATGCATGTAGTCATGATGGAATTGTGAGATGGGCTTTAGCCATGGCCTCAAGGCAGCAGAGCTCAAGATTCCTTGGGTAGAAAAAATCCACCCAGTAGCTTGCTGCCAATCTTGGAATTCTGCTGGTGAGCAACTTGATCTTCTTGCTGCTAATCGATCAAAAGAATTCAGTGCATCATTGTCAGTGGCCAGCACCAAATCCTTTTTGCTTATTGCTCTGATAACAGCATTGTCAGGGTCATCATCCTGCTCAGTCAAAAAAACAATTTGATTGCAGCATTTCAAGCAGTAATTGCTACCTGCATCTCCTTTCAAGCCAAAAGTGATTTTTTGGCTGGCTCCATCTTGAACAAAGAAGCCAAGCTGGTAGTGAACTCTGAACTTTTGGCCTGCTGGCCCATGCAATACCAAACCAATCTCTGGTGGTGTTTCAATCGACACAAATATCATCTCCATGATGACCCTCATGACTTGGCCCATGTGGCCTTCCAATGTTGCCACTATGGAACTCCTGCAAATGAAGAGAGGCAACCAATGTTGAGTTTGGGATATGGCATGCCTTCCAATTTCTTTGAAAGTGCCATACACTACCCAAACTTTTTTGGCAGCTTTGCCTAAAGCATTGGCTGGCAAACATTCATCGCTGTAAAGGATCAAATTCCACATCATGTTTGGTGATGAAGGCTGTGCAGTGAGCCCTGCAGCCATGCATTGAAAGAAGCTGCCCCCCAGCTTGAAGCTGGCATGCAAAAGGCTTTGAAAATTCACCACTTGCAACTGAATACTTGTTCCATCAGTTTTGAAGAATTCATGTGACACTAAGAGGCTGCCATAGGTGAAGAACTGGGCCAAATGCTGCTTAGCAGCTTCAGTCATTTGCTTTGGATTGTTCAGCTCAGGCACACCATGCTTTTCAATATCTTTCAAAATGCCATGCAGGCTTGCTTTGCTACAATTCGGAATTGATCTTCTCAAGTTGTTGAGTCTCTGAAGCTTGGCAGGCCTTTCTGCAAATTCATCTACTTTTCCCATATTCCCAAGTCAAAAAGCAAGCCAGGACATGGCAGCAAACAATGACTCAATCAAGAACTGTTCTTGTAAATGAATAGTGGCAGGTTGCAAAAGAGTTGGGCCACAAAACATGTGAATAGTGGAAAGGTAGAAATGTCTGCTTGCTGGGAAGCTGTATGTATACATTGTCAGTGAAGTGCTTGGCCCAAAAGGCAGGACACATGTTTTCCATGAGCTGAATGGCAGGCAATGAAATATTTCAACCAGAAGCCAGTGCAGGCTTGACACACATTGCAGGCTTGACACCCAGAAGCCATGCAAGGCTTATTGGTGAAGCAGCCATGGCAGGCTTGCCAAACTTCAGAAAGCTATTAAAGCTTGCAAGTGCACACCTACATTAGCCATGCAAGGCTTGTTGGGAAAGCAGCCATGGCAGGCTTGCCAAACTTGAGAAAGCTATCAAAGCTTGCAAATGCAGAGCTACATGTGTCAGCCATGTCAGGCTTGAAGCAAGAACAGAGCCATAAAGGCTTGAAACAGAGTGAGGCCCAGCTTCCTTATCCTTTTTCCATTTTCCTGCCACAGACTTGAACTCCAAGATTGGTTCCTGAGTTTTCCCAAGAAGCACAGCATCCAATGTTTCTCATTGAATTTGTGCAAACCCCAAAAAAAGAAACACAAAGCTGCTGCTTCAAAGCAGCTTGCAGCACCTACTTCTTGCCAGTGGCTTCAGCCCAGTCCTTCCATTCTTCCCTTGAGTAGAACTTTCTACCTTGAAAGGTAGGTTTGGAGCAGGATGCACAACCCCTCACATTTCCCCTGCAAGAGCTACACCCCCAGCCTTGAACTTTCTTCTTGGCTGGTTTGCCTTTCTTGGAAGCACTGCTGCTGGCTTTGGCAACTGGCTTCACTTGGGAAGGGGCAGCAGCTGGCCTTTTCATCCCTTTGCCAGCAGCCCTTCTGCTTGCCAACTTCTTGTAAGCTTCATCCTCGAAATCTTCCAAGCTAGCTGTGCCCAAATGTGTTTCCACAGGCACCAGAGCATGGGGAAGTTTTTCTGCCACACTTCCACACTCAGCAGCATGGCAGCCTCCATCCACAGAAGGAAGTTGCTCAGAAGCTCTGCCATTGGAGACTGGTTGGCTGCCTTGCAAGCCTGTAGCTGGAGGCCTGCCAACAGAGCCACCCAAGTGGCTCCTTTTCTCAGCAAGTTGGTTTGCGGTTTCTCTGTCACACCACTTCTCCATGAACTGCTCCATCTTCTCCAGCAAGCCATATCCTTGGTCAGCTACAGGAACTGGTTCTGAAGCAGGAGGCTTCTTCTTGCTAGCCTTTGCCTTGGGCTCCTCTTTGAGCAACTTATTTGTATCCCTCAAAGAAATTGCATGGTGCAAGTAGCTTAAGGACAGCTCTTGCATGGCTGGTTTCTCAGTGCCATAGGCCTTCTCCAGGAAAGTAGGGGACAGCTGGCTAGGAGACATTGGGTATGTCTTCAAGCCAGACACTTGGCATCCTGCAGAAGAAGTGGAAGCAAAAACACTCACCAAGTCAGTCACCATGTAGTAGACAGCCCAGTTGCTTGGAAGTGGCTGCTTCTGCACAGTGGGTTTCACATGCAGGAGCAAAGCTATGACACACTTCTTGGTGTCTTCCTTCATACTCTTAATGCCCAATGCTTTCAACCTTTCACACAACACCCTCATGCCATCCAAGAAGGACTGTGAAGCATTGATCTTTTCCCAGTCAGCCAAAGTGAGGTAGGGAGGCAAATTGGTAAGGCTTTGGGCCTTCATCTGCAACTGCAAGTTGCTTTCTTGTGACACAGACAGGGCATCCATGACCTGCATGATCTCTTCTTTCAACTTCTGAGGAAGAGCAGCTGCTTTGACTTTGGCATAGAGCTCTGTCAGGCCAGAGGCAGTCCATCCAGGAACCCCTTGAAGCCTTTGCTTCAAAGCTCCCAAGGCAGAATGGCCAACAACAGAGTTAGGTCTTTCTGCCAAAAGGTTAGCCACATGCTCCAGTTCTGAGCAAAAATCTTCATTGGACCATTGATGGCTCATGTTGGCCACCAATGAAGAAAAAGGTGACTACAGCTTGAGTTTGGCAAATGCTACCAGAAACTTATTTTTGAAGCAATGCAGTGCTGTAAGAACTTTATGGCAAGCATGCAAGATGGCAGCCAGTAAGGCTTGAATATGATTTGGCCACAATCAGACCTGAAGCATGAATAGCCATCAAGGCTTGCATGTGGAACAATGGCTGTACAGAAGATTGTTGTCTAGCCATAAAGGCTTGCCACACAAAGCCAGTGAGACTTACAATACATAGCAATGCAGGCTTGCAAGCACAAAGTGGCCATGAAAGACCTGCATAAAAGCCACAAAGGCTTACAAATGCTGAACAGCCATAAAGGCTTGCAAGAAAAGCCACAAGGGCTTGAAATTCTGACATGTCCATGGTGATATTTTTTTCTCTCAGGGCAAAGCTGGAAGATCCAAGTCTCATACCATGGAAGGCAGCCAGATCACATCCAAGGATCAGTAGTACTTCCTGTACTTGTCAAAGCCATTGGTTCTCATCTCCCCATCATGGATGGTGTAGATTTCCTGGAAGGTCCTGTTCTTCATGAACCTGTGGTGGAATCAGAAATCACCATGGGCCAAATCATTTGGAACACTTTCATCCAGTTTTAAATACATTTGCTTTTCTTTAGGTAGTGTTAAAAAAATACATAAGTATCATCCAAGGTGCGCATCCACTAGCTTGTCGCACTTTTCCCAATCCTTCTCCTTGTAAGCCCTGGCAAGGACCACAGCCTTATTGATGCCACCAGACCTGTGCTGCTTATCTGTTTTCACCTGCAAGTGTTCATAGTGCTTCTTCTCCTCAGCACTCATGGGTTCCTCTATGAGCTTGAAGCAGCTGTCCTCAACACATCTGGGTGTGGAGTGGTAGGTGGTGGTAGTGGTGGAAGTTTCTCTGGCTCTGGCACTTTCTGCATGTTCATCCTCCAGGGTAGTTCTGAAGATTTCCTTTTTTTGTGAACAGGATCAGGAAGTTTCCTTCTCTTTTTTTCCTTAGCCTCCAAGTTCTCACCCTTGATGTTCTTGGACTCCAGCTTGTCCTTCTTGTCTTCCTTGGAGACCACCTCTGATTCATGCAGTGGTGACTGCAGGATACTCTTCAAGGCTGAAAAGTTCTGGTCCTCATTCTCTTCTTCCACCATTTCATAGTCGCATTGTTCTGAATCTCCAAGGACTTCCACTGGTTGAGCAAGTTCATGATCACTGGCCTGGGTGTCTGAATCTGCATCATCATGTGTCCTTTGATGTTGGAAAAGCCATTGAAGGCTTGCAAAAAAACATGAAGTTATGACCACAGTGAATGCCATAGAGGCATGCAATGCTGATTTGATAAAGCCTCATGGGCTTGGGAAAAGAAAAGCATGACAATAAACATACCACCCAAGAGGCTCTTCATCCTTCACAGTCTTGTAGCCCAGCAAACTCCATGCCAAACCAGGAACTGCAAAACATCCTTCTTCATCATCCATGGCTCTGAGTTGGCTGATCAATTGCGAAATCCTAAATTCTGCAAGATCATTATCAAAAAGTTAGATTCATCTGATGAACCTAAAATTTAGTACCTAGATTTTAGGTTCATCTGATGAACCTAAAATTTCATATCTAGATTTTAGGTTCATCTGATGAACCTAAAATTCAATATCTAGATTTTAGGTTCATCTGATGAACCTAAAATTGAAAATATATGATTTAGGTTTATCTGATGAACCTAAAATTGTAAATATATGATTTAGGTTTATCTGATGAACCTAAAATTGTAAATCTAATATTTAGGTTTATCTGATGAACCTAAGACCTAATACTTGTTGTATTGATTTTTTTTGCTAAATTTGATTGTTTTTGAAATACCATGAGTGTTTCATTCTGAAATATTAATATATGCTTTAAGATAATATAATATGAATTGATAATATATATGTATATACATACATGTATGGCTAATTCATATATATGCCCATGAGTATTTATTATTCTTGTGAAAACATAACATAACATATATGTATGATTGATGTGGCAACCTTCACAGTTAGTTGAATGATCATTGACCCCTTGGGTACTGGTTGATCTTGATCCACACACAAACATCAAAGTGATTATACAATCTTTCAAAACTACATGAAGATTGAACCCATGTTTGATGGCCATGACAAACCTGAATAAACATGACCATTGAAGGCCTGCACAAGAACTAGCCACAAGGGCTTGCATACAGATGGCCAGTAAAGACCTGCATCAAACTAGCCACAATGGGCTTGCAAAGCAAGTGCTTGCATGTGAATGTTTCAAATTTAAATGCAAATATCTAGCCACCATGGGCTTGCACAGCTACAGGAGCTTGCATATGGATGGTCAGGAATGACCTGCAGAAGTTTAGCCACAAAGGGCTTCAAAAGCAACATGTGCTTGCAAAAGAATGCTAGCCACATTGGGCTTGAAGAGCATCAAGTGCTTGCAACTGCATAGTCATGACAGACCTGCAGAAATCTAGCCACTATGGGCTTGCACAGACACAACCCAAATGAGCTTGAAGCAAGATAGCCAGGATGGCTTGCAAAAGTCAAACTTTGCAAACGTGACAATATAGATATGTTGTCATTCAAATTTGTATTCCTGCATCATAGGTACATCCTTAGCAATCTATATTGTTTGGTTCCATGCAATCTCCAACAAAACAATTATCATGCAAGTCAATTTGAAACATTTCATAGAGAACTTGACATGCAATGGCCACAAGGGACCTTCTCAAGCCAAGCCTGCACTTTTTTTAAAGCTGCTGCATTGGATCTGGGATGTTTATGGCAAAGTTGGCCCCACTACAGTGTCCATGATGACATCTACCTGTGTTTTCATCACAGTGTTCTTCTCCCTGATCTCTGCCACCACCAGCATGATCTCCTGCAGCTGCTGATATATCATGTGCAAGGCTTTGAGTAGATCCTTGAGGACCATCAAGCACAGCAGCAGCAAAAGGCACAGAGTCCAGCATGACATCACAAGAAGGAATTGCCACACCATCTTCTATTTAGCTTGCCAGAGCCAAAACTACCACAAATAATGAAGCTGGGCATCACCTTAGAAGGAAAGCAAGCTTTTGTGATATAGCCACATTGGGCTTGACCATATGAGCCATAGTAGGCTTGCAACAAGTGCAAAAGCATGGTGGCCACTTGGGGCCTGAGAGGCAAGTATCAGCTACAGTGAGCTTGCTTACAGGAAAAGCCATGAAAGACTTATAATGGCCACCATGGGCTTGATGTCTGCTTGGCTTCCTTTTATCACTATTCTTTTAAAACATGCAGTTTAGATTTAATTGCTTGTGGTTGCATCCTGCTTGGCAAGATAGCAGTACCCAGACTCAGCACATATGAATACAGAAATTTGATGACTGCTGTCAGTGATGACCATGGTATTAACATTGAATCACACACAAACAGCTACCTTACATAAAAAATAAGCCCACATCAATAGGAAATAATCTAAACTGGTGGCAAGAAACCAGTGCTTGTGCAACATGCTCCATGCCAGCTTAATTCACAAAGTGACAATTACAGCATTTGAAGCCCAGAAGCCACACAAGGCTTGCAAAAAGTCAGAGCCATGACAAGGCTTCCTTGTGTCAAAGCCATGCAAGGCTTGCAGGAGGCTGCTGAAGCAAACTTTTTTTGGTGCCCTTGTGTCAGCAGCTCTGGTTTGACATCAGCAATGCCAAGGCTTCACTTGCCAATGGCTGCAAGCATGCCATGACCACATCACTTCTTTTTGTAGGCTTTGGGGGTTGCACCCAAGCAAGAGTCAATGTCTTCCTCCAAAAACCTGACCACAGCTGTCAATTGCTCAGGCACAAGCTGGATCAGCAAGTCTGACTTGGAAGGCCTCTTTCCACTCACCATGCAAATGATCTTCTCATTGAGCACTTCAAATTCCACCAAGTAGGAGCCAGCAGGAACTTTTCTTTTCTTTTGGCTTTCAGAATTTGCACTTTCTGCCTGAAAAAGGTCTTCCTTCTCTTCTCCTTCTGCATCTTCATCTGGCAAATCAAGCTTGGCTGCAGCTTCATTCCTGAGCTGCAAAAGTTCCTGCAGCTTGGCACTTGTAGTCAAACCAGCATTCTTCTTGTACTTGTCTTTCATGACCAGCTGACAGATCATTGGGAAAGTTGGCCTGAACCTCAAGAAAGATTTCTCTTCAAAGGTCTCCTCCAAAGAATGTGGCACATTGAGCCATTTGTCGCCATTTTTGATAGCCCAAGAAGATCTCACATCCAGCATGTGAAGGTAGGGCTAAGTTGTGGTGTCACACTTCTGCTTTGGGCCAAACTCCTCAATTGCAAAGCCTTTCCATGGTGCAAACACAAGGCAAAGAAGCAATCAAAAAGCCATGCAGGCTTACAAGCATAACAAGCCATGAAGGCTTGCACAAAGAAGGCTACCAGCCATGAAGGCTTGCACACAGAAGGCTACCAGCCAGTTACAAAGGCTTGCACACCCACCAGCCATGACAGCTTGCACCCTACAGGAGCCACAAGAAAGGCTTGGCAATGAAGATCTTCATGGGAGACAGCTGTTTTGCATGCTGCAGAAATGAGTACTCCTCTGCAGTGTGACACCTATACCCTTGCTATTGCAGTAGCAACCAAAAGTTCAGCTTTCAGTCTTGGCCTTCTTCTTGGGCTGAATCTCTTTCTTTCCATTGTCAGTGAGCAATTTGTCATGAGTAGCCACAGGAGAGCTGTTTGTCAAGATAGGGATCTTGCAAGCATCAACCACAATCTCACTGGCAGACATGTTGCCATCTTCACCTTGCCCAGCTGCCTTTACCCACCAAAATGGTGACAGGACACCATCATCTTTGCTGAAATCACTCAATGCCTTGTAAGGCTGCACTTGCCAATCATGACCAAATGCCTTGATGTAGATCTTGTCCTTAACAGGCTCACCTTTGAGCTTGGAGACAGTTCCACAAGGCACAAACTTCAGTGCACCTTTCTTCATTTTCTGCAAGGACCAAACATGGTTGGGGTGGTTGGTGAAAGCGACCTGGTCAGCAGTCACAGCATGGTCCATGCATGCTTGCAGCAAAGCCTTCTGAACATGGCTCCTCTGCATGTCTGCTTGCACCAAAGGATTATGCTGTGGCACATGTTGGTCCTGCTTTGCTCCTTCACATTTTTCAGGAGGGTGCATTTTGGTCAGCTTCCACAACTTGAGCTGGTCAAATGGCACATGCACTTCTTCTTTGGGATGAAACAAAGGCTGATGCACCATGATGCAAGCTGTCTGTGTGCAAGAGATGTGCTGGAATATCTTGTGGCCATGGTCTTTGGCATTGAGATACCTGGCAATAGTACCAATGTGAAGCTTCAAAAGAAACTTTGCAAACAATCCAAAAGAAACTCATTCAAAAGGCTTCAAAAAATCACACCAAGATGCATCTCATTGACTTTGATGTGTTTGTTTTGCAGAAGGGCCAACTCAGCTTTGCTGGCAGACAACACATTGCTCACCTGGATGTCAGTGCTAGAAGGAGAGACTGCAGCTTGCACCTGTGCCATGCCTTGCAAGTCTTCTGTAAACTTTCCAGCAATCTCCTGCAAATCTTCAAATCCATCTGGCTCTCTGCCTGCTTTCTCTTTGTTGAGAACATGCAGGCAAACCCTGACACACAGTCGACCAAAGGCACCAACAGTCTGGCTTTCAGTAGCTTTGGAAGCCACATATAAAGCCCAAGCATCTTGAAGAACTTGCCTCAGATGCTGGCTTCCACAAGTGCCAAAAAAGAAATTGACTTTGCAAGGTGGAATCAAGTCAAAAATTGCTAATGTATCCTGGCCAGCTGCTCTGCTTCAAGCACCTTCTGCCTCATTGCAAGGCTTTTGACTCTTTCTGTGTCGCCTCTGACCAAAATCTTGGAGACACCATCCACAGCTTTCTGTGAAGACATCATTGTTGCCCACCTCAGATGCAAAGGAAGAAGGCAGTGGCTTGAGGAAGGGTTGCACAGCCACAGAGAGCTTGAAACAACCAGAACAGAAGGTAGCCATCAAGGCTTGGCAAGGCTACAACAAGAACCTGCATGATTAACTAGCCACAAAGGCTTGAATCTGTAGGCAACAGCAACCAACCAACAGGCAGCCATAGAGGCTTGAACTTGCATGGGCACAAAGCCTTTGCAACTAAAAGTCAGCCATGCAGGCTTGAAAGAACCACTTGATGCTGCCAAGAGGCATGGAAGCTCTCAAGAAAGGTAGCACATGATCACCACCCTTCAGCTCAAAATAGGTGATAGCTTTCATCATCTCTTCACCCACCATGACAGTGCCATAGGTCTTGCCTAAGGTCTCTAGCTATGTGGTGCCCATTGCCATCTTTGAAAGGGCAGGATAAACACTCAAGCTGTTAACACCACAGTCAAGACATTGAAGGTAATATGAGTGCTATGAATGCACCTTCCAAAATGCACTTCACACACCAAATTTTGAATCAAGCTGAGAAACCGAATTTGGAGAGGAAATTGATGATTGGACAATCCATGCCACCACCAAACTTGCCCACATAGTGAGCAATGCAATCCAAGCTAGGCTTGCAAGCTGGGTCACATGCTTTCAAAATATCCAAAGAGTTCTTGAGCTGTTGCCCATGCTTCAGGCCTTGGGCCAGCTGTGCAGCACATTCCACTTCAGAGAGCTGCTTGGAGTTGCTGTTGGTGCTGTTCAAAGCAAGTTGCAGCCAGCTGGGCAAGTCTTTCCACTCTGATTCCACTGAAGCTGACAGCACACACCAAGACCATCCCTGGCTTAGCAGCTCCAGAATGCTATTTGACCTCTCCTCTCCTTGCCTGAGCTGAAGCACATGCTGAGGTCCAGGTCCTTGGCATCCTGCTTCCAATGCTTTCAGCCAAGCAGTTGTATGAGAACTGCTTACACTCAAGAACCTCTCCTTGCAAGTGACAGGGGCCAGTAAGGATGGAGTCTGCTCAACCAAAGCCTTGTTGGCTGCCAGCTGCATTTCTCTGGCTTGAGGTTCTAAGGCCATCCCAAAGGCAAAGGAATCTGTAAGCAGCTCTTTCCTCACACCCACATTCCACATTCTCAAGCCCTTGCTCCAGCAGTCTACACTGCTCAGCATCTGCCCAGATCTATTCTGGGGATGCACAAGAACATCGCATGGTTTCAGCTCTGTCCTGTAAGCCAGCCCACATTCCAAAAGCACACTGGTGAGCTTTTGCACCTTGACAAGCACAGGGTCAACACTTTTAAGCACCCCATTCACTTCTTTCTTCACTTCTTCTGAAATGGCAGCCATTGCTACCTTTTGCGTTTGGGCCAAGCACCTGCAAGTGCACAGCATAACCAAAGCCATCAATGAGGAGGTGCAAGATCCAAAGAGCCATGGAAGGCTTGGTCAAAACAGCCATTATGGCTTGCATCAATTAGCCATGACAATCTTGCATGGAAATCAAGAAGCCATGGATAGGCTTGAAACACCACAGAGCTGGACAGCTTGCATGGGCTTACAACCACAGCCATGGAGGCTTGCAAGCACAGCTATGAAGGCTTGCAAGAACAGCTATGAAAGCTTACACAGCAGCAGCCATTGTCAGGCTTGATCAAGCAGTTCCAGAAGCAGTTTTTTGCAGCTTCTTTGATTGTTTTATTCCACATTTCATTGCCAAGATGATTTGGGCTTTGCTCAATTTTTGGCAAGTCATAGCAAACACTGCTGTTAGCAGGTCACAATTGAAATCTTAACCACAATGGTCCAATGCTGGGGACAAGCTATCAGCACCCCACATGGAAAACACATGGCAAACCATGCTCTGATTGCCTGAACATGTTCTTGGCTCATGGTGAATTTGAAAAAATGTTCATTGGTATATCTGGCATATATTTTTTTGAAAAGTTGTTTTTTCTGCATTGAAACACAATTTTCTTTAGAGCAGATTGCATCCAGAAATGTGTTTGCTGGAGCTTAAAATGATCATTGCTAGACCATGAAGTTAAGCCATCTAACTTGCCTAAACCTTTACAACTTTTAAGATAGTTAGGTTTGCACTAGCTAAAAATTATAAAGTTTAGCTAACCTGCCTAAACCTACTAAAGGGTTAGTACATAGTTACAACAGATTTAAGACAGTGTTATCACATACTTAGAATAGTATTAGCTAAAGCACATAACCCTATCAACCTACTAGTAAGGCCGCAGCTGATCCAAGTGTAGAACCACATCCTGAAAAACATGGACGGAAAAAATCTTGTTCTAGGCATCAAACCCGGTTTTGATTCGGTTTGACTGGCTCTTTCCGAGGACAGCTTTTTATGGGTTTTTGCGGGATGCTCACGGGTTTTTACGGGAAATCTACGGGTTTTGGACGGGTTGGCAAAACCAGATTTCAGGAAAACCCGGTTTTGGTGCCATAAGCTTGTTTTTGTTGCAGCGGTTGGGCTCAAAAACCAGGTTTAGGACCCACATCGCAACTTTTTCCAGGATCTGGAGGTACATGGTATACTTATTAATTATAATTAATGTAGGTTACAGATTAGTACAGGGGGGACCCCCCCCTCCCTTAACAAATTTGGGGTACAGAATAGTGTGGAAAAAACAAGGTATCGGGTACGCAATAGTGTGAAATCAAAAAAATTATAGATTTCAATTGATTTCAATTTACGTTCAATTGATTTCAATTTACTTTGAATTGATTTCAATTTACTTTCAATTGATTTCAATTTACTTTCAATTGATTTCAATTTACTTTCAATTGATTTGAAGTTACTTTCAATTGATTTCAATTTATTTTGAATTGTTTTCAATTTACTTTCAATTGATTTCAATGTACTTTGAATTGATTTCAATTTACTTTCAATTGATTTCAATTTATTTTGAATTGATTTCAATTTACTTTGAATTGATTTGAAGTTACTTTGAATTGATTTCAATCTACTTTGAATTGATTTCAATTTACTTTGAATTGATTTCAATTTACTTTGCATTGATTGCAATTTACTTTCAATTGATTTCAATTGATTTCAATTTACTTTGAATTGATTTCAAATTACTTTGAATTTACTTTCAATTGATTTCAATTTATTGCCAATTTACTTTCAATCGACATCCCATAGAAATCCAATAGTAGTCCCAAAGAAATATCATAGAAATACCATGGAAATCCCATAGGAATCTCACAGAAATACCATAGAAAGATCATAGAAATAACATGGAATAGTATAGGAACCACAAAAGAAACCCCATGAGAATTCCAATAATAATCCCATAGAAATATCATAGAAACATCATGGAAATACCTTGGAAATCCCACAGGAATCCAATAGAAATTCCATAGGAATCCAATAGAAATACCATAGAAATCCCATAGGAATCCAATGGAAATCCCATAAGAATACCATAGAACTCCCATAGCACCCCTTCAGAAATCCCATAGAAATCCTCCAGAAATAAACATCATGGAAACACCATAGGAATCCCATAGAAAACCAATAGTAATACCATAGAAATACCATAAAAGAAAAAAGCTTTAGCAAAGGAACAGGTAAAGGGAATGCTTGAAAAAAAATCACACCAGGAAGCATCTGGACACAATAGTGTACCCTCCAAACAAACCACACTATTGTGTATCAGGGTTGCTCATGAACTACCCCCTTGAAAAATTGTTTGAGTGATGATTTTTAATTGGGTTTTAACAAGGCACCATATATTTTGGGAAACTGGGCATTTCTGAGAATTTCAAATGAAAGAAACTAAGAAAGTAATTAAGTAATTAAAAGAAAAAAACTTTAGCAAAGGAAAAGGGTAAAGGAAATGATTGAAAAATTCAAAAAATCATGACCTCTTGAAGCAGCTGGACACAATAGTGTACCCTCCAAACAAACCACACTATTGTGTATCAGGGTTGCTCATGGACTACCCCCTTGAAAAATTGTTTGAGTGATGATTTTTAATTGGGTTTTAACAAGGCACCATATATTTTGGGAAACTGGGCATTTCTGAGAATTTCAAATGAAAGAAACTAAGAAAGTAATTAAGTAATTAAAAGAAAAAACTTTAGCAAAGGAAAAGGTAAAGGGAATGCTTGAAAAAAAAATCACACCAAGAAGCATCTGGACACAATAGTGTGCCCTCCAAACAAACCACACTATTATGTATAAGGGTTGCTCATGGACTACCCCCTTGAACAATTTCTTGAGTGATGTTTTTTAATTGGGTTTTAATAAGGCATCATATATTTTGGGAAACTGTGCATTTCTGAGAATTTTAAATGAAAGAAACTAAGAAATCATGACCTCAGGAAAGCAGCAGGACACAATAGTGTACCCTCCAAACAAACCACACTATTGTGTACCTGGATGTAATTTTCTGTGGAAGGCATCTGGAAAATTTCAATGATGGAAAATATAAAGTAAAAGAAAAAAGCTTTAAAAAATGAAAAAAAAGAAAAATGTTTCAAAAAACAGAAACAAGACCAAAACACAATATTGTACCCCAGACAAGATCAAGACACAATAGTGTATCCTGACAATAAATTTAAATTTGTCACAAAATTGAATGGTAATGATTATATATATATATATAATATAATATTTTATATATTTATTAATTTATTATTTTTTTAAAAAAATGTTAAATTAAAAATAATAAAACAAAAAAACAAAAATCAAAACTATTATCTTTTAAAAAACAATTAAAACAATTAAAAACTTAAAAACAAAAAATGAAAAAAAAACTTACACCAAAATCCTGTGGACACAAAACTGTACCCCTCAATCATTTCCAAAGTTACAGAATAGTTTTGGAGTCTGTGGACACAATTCTGTATCCCCACACTAATCTGTATACCACATTAATTATATAATATAAATATATATACATATATACAACAACATATCAACCCATATCAACCCACCTATACAAGGGAAAACTGTACGCAGCCAGGTACCTACCAAAGCGCTGCAGGACGACAGTTTCACTGGGAGGCGGCTTCTTAAAATGGGGGATCCCAAAACCTATGGCTTTCAATACATGGTCATCCATGACTTCGATGATTTGGGGTACCCCTATTTGAGAAAACCTCCATTTTGTATACATCAAGTGTCCAAATAGAGGATTATATAATACATGGATATATACATGGTCAGATTCCCCATCCTCATTTCCTGGGGCCAAGCTCTCCATTGTTGTTGGTTAAGCCACAAACGGTATACATACATCAGGTGTTGCATACACAGTCTATATGTAGCTTTATATACTATACATATACATAATACATCATAATACACGAGTAACCGACAAAATTATTGTAATACTAATTTTGTTGTGCTTCGCCTTGGCCTTTCTGAGGTTGCACAAAACGTTCATAACCGCTAGGGGACGACCCTATACCGATACCCCGTTTGTGATATCTCTGGGACTACTGAAATCTTCACAACCGATAGGGGACGACCCTAATTATCCAAATTTGTGCATGGCATTAAACTTAACTAATATTTTTGTCCGCTACTCTTATATTTAATCGTTTCTCCCTACTAACAGTTCAATAACACACCCCCACAAATTGTTTAGTGTAGTATTGAATCTATCATATTCTAGTCATTTTTGGGGCACAGATGGTGGTTCATTAAGTGGAGTTTTTTTAAACCAAGAAGCGGCCATGAAATGATAGGGTGTGCCCTCGGGAAGGGACCGCATTAGAAGATTACGGCGCGGGGGATCTGGTGATTGCAACCCGTACATGGAGACGATATCAGGTACCTTCCCAACGGTACCTTGACGTCATGGCTCATGCAACGAGCAAACATTTCATGTCGGTGAAATACTGTGATTTGCCCAAATGAACATATGACCAGGGATTCAAACAGTGACATCCGAGCTTGATTTTGTGGTTTCAAAACGTTTGAAACATATTTATGTCATTATGTCATTTATGTTCCATGTTTTTGGTGACAGCGCCTTGTGGATGGCGTGTGCGTGTGGGGGTGGGGTCGGCTAATAACGTTCCCTTGCACGCGTACTTGCTGCTACGCTACTGGATGTTTACTTGTATGTGCACACGTACTTGATGCTTAGGGCTTAAGAACACTTTGTTCCAACTTCCAGTCTGAAAACGAAACCCACGCAGAGCCGAGGCAGAAAAACGTGCCTAAAGTGCTGCAAGGGTCGCCCGAAATGAACTTCCTTGGTATATAACCTTCCATGACTTTCAGCCCCCGAAACCAGTAAGGTTCCAGCCAGAAGTATCAAAAACACTAGGTTTTTGTGCACATTGCATTTTTTCACTTTTCAGAAAGCCAGTAAACGCACGCCATCCTCAAAATGCTGTCACCATGTTTTTGGGAGATATTCCCAGATGAATGAGACTGATGATCGCATGGTTTATCATTATTCTTCTGATCAACCTTGCCTTTTTGGGACATCCCCCGTTTTTGGACAGACTCTTAAAAATCACATGATTGGTTGTACGTTGTCTCCCATTGATTCCTTTTGTCTCCACGATATCCCCCTAAGATGCTTGGCTTTATGCCCCCGCATATCCCTGACTGGTCAACTGTTAAACCATGTTAATTAAACCTTTTTTTTAAAATTAATTTAGTACACATTTTTTTCGCTTCACAATTTCTTTATTACCTCCTGTGGCTCGGGGTGTTCCCCCAGATTTGATCCATGTTTTTCGCAGGATTTGTTCCTCACAGAAGAGGCCGCGGTGCTGCGGCGCAAAATTTTTGATGCGCGAGGTTTCAAGCAGTTCCAAGCCATGAGGGAGAAGCTTGGTGGAACGCAACGGCGAGATACTCCCCATGAACATGGCCATGGCAAGATGATGATCAACGGATTTTAAGGGCTAGCTTATTAAGCTTAACGTTGTAAAGCCGATAAAATAAACATTCCATTCACCAATCATGACTGTGGCTTATTTACTTCAAATCATCCCAAATTCCGGTATCCCCAATCATAAACCCCAATAGGGGATGGTTGATTAAGGTTTATTAGTAGGTTTCCCTCATCAAAAGAGATTAACAATTTCATGAGGGTGCAATGAGTGGGTTTCGGTGAATGCATCCAAACATGAATGTGAGTAACGTTGACCAATCCTCACAAATCGGGATGTGAAAGAGACACCAGATGGGGATATAATAGTTTACAAAACTAAATATGATCTATATATATATATGATTTGCCCAGACAACGGGTATAGTCAATATAGTTCAATATAGTCTAGACTAGTTAAATGGCAAATGCCATGGAAAACGGTGAAAAAACAACTAGATTTGGCACTCCCCAAGTTTTGGGCAAACCAACATTTCCAAGTTGAAGAGGAGGATCTGCAATGCAAAAGGTGCAGGGAAACCCACATGCCACTGCGCTTTAACACGAACTGTGTATTGTTTTGTATATTATAGATATTCAGATTATCACTGTTCATATACACCTGTTCATAGCAGTAGTACCGCACAAGGCGGTGGCGGAAGTTTCATCTATAGGAAACTATAGGAGGGGTGAGTTGTTGTGATGCATGGATGGCAGAGCGAATCCACTGATGGACCGAAAGGTGGTTGGAGTTCTCTTTTTTCGGAGTGGTTGCAGTGGTCACCTCAACCACAACTGCTTGATGTAGCGTGGTGTAGCGTAGTGCAATGTAATTGTAGTTGCAGTTGCAGTTGTAGCTGTAGTTGGAGTTGTAGTTTTAGCTGTTGTTGTAGTTGTATGGTAGTGTAGTTGTAGCTCTAGCTGTAGCTGTGGTTGATGTCGTTGTAGCTGTACTAGTAGTTGTAGTGTTAGTTGTAGCTGTAGTAGTTGTTGTAGTTGTTGTTGTTGTTGCTGTAGTGTAGTTTACTGTAGTGTAGTGGTAGTGTAATGTGGTGAAGTGGAGTGAAGTGTAGTGGAGTTGTATTTGTAGTTGTAGTTATTGTTGCTGTTCCTGTTGTTGTTGTTGTTGTTGTTGTTGTTGTTGTTGTTGTTGTTGTTGTAACTGTAGTTGTAGTAGTTGTAGTAGTAGTTCTATTGCTGTTGCAGTTAAAGTTGTTCTAGTTGGTTGTTGTTGTCGCTGTTGTTGCTGTTGTTGTTGCTGTTGTTGTTCATGTTGTCATTGATGTCGTTGTTGTTGTTGTATGTGGTTGTTCTTGTATGTTGTTGTTGTTGTTGTTGTTGTTGTTGTTGTTGTCGTCGTCGTCGTTGTCGTCGTTGTCGTCGCTGTCGTTGTCGTTGTCCTTGCCGTTGCCGTTGCCGTTGTTTGTTGCTTGATGTTTGTTGGTTGTTGGTTGATGGTTGTGGTTGTTGTGGTTGTTGTGGTTGTTGTGGTTGTTGTGGTTGTTGTGGTTGTTGTGGTTGTTGTGGTTGTTGTGGTTGTTGTGGTTGTTGTGGTTGTTGTGGTTGCTGTGGTTGCTGTGGTTGCTGTTGTTGTCGCTGTTGTCGTTGTTGCCGTTGTTGTCGTTGTTGTCGTTGTTGTGGTCGTCGTTGTGGTCGTTGTGGTCGTTGTTGTCGTTGTTGTCTAGTGTGGCGCGGTTGAACGTCCAAAAGTGCTCCGAACATGGTTTGTTTTGCACCTTTTGATTTGGACATGTGCTTCGTGCCACAACGCCGTGCACTTTGTGAACATCTCAACTTCCAAAGTTGTCGGAAACGGTCAGTTTTTAACGCTTTTGACTTCGAAATATGCTTTGTGCCACAACGGCGCGCGCTTTTTGAACACCTCAACTGCCAAAAGTGGTTTTGATTTTCGAAATGTGCTTCGCGCCACAACGCTGTGCATTTTTTTGACATCTCAATTGCCAAAAGTACTCCGGACCTGATGTTCTTCACCCCACAACGGCGTGCCCATTTTCAACATCTCAACTTCCAAAAGTGCTCCGAGACCGTCAGTTTTTAACACTTTTGACTTCGAATGTGCCCCGCGCGCCACAACAGCATACACTTTTTCTACATCTCAACTTCAAAAAGTGCTCCGAACATGAGATGTTTTTTCACATTTTGACTTTGAAATTTGCTTCGGGCCACGACAGCGTGCAATTGTTCTCTTCTTATCTCCCCAGATGGCTCCGCACCCGCCGCTTTTGCAATCCTGCTTTTTGACCCACTGGAGCCCCAAAACATTGGCAAAAACATAGTGCATCTTCTTTCTTCTGCTTCTTTCTCTTCTCTGATTTTCTTTCTTCTTCTCTTTTCTTCTCTGACTCTTCCAACCTTTGCTTTTCCATCTGTCCGTGTTGTCGGAAGTTTGATTTCTAAACTGCCTCCCATTTTATAAATATAGTATATATATATATTATATACATGTATATACATGCACTGTAAACATGTATCTTTGCACATGCATAGATGTACATACATGGCGTGTATATATTTTTTTCTTATTTATCATTTATTTGTAATAATCTGAGTGCGAGCTTGTGTAGCAATCACTGCCGCAAAAGAGCGTGCTGCATCGAAATCCCCACTGGGGTCTTCAATACAAATTTGTTTTTTGGATCTTTGATACACGTCTATTTCTCGATTTTCTCTTGGAACAGTTCAACGAGAAATGCAACATCAAGCATGTCAAATGCTTATGTTACTTCAAACTGCGCGCTGAAAAGTGCATCTCCAGAAGCGAAGGTTTCTGAAGTGAGCACATCTGGAAACAAACCCTCAATTTGTCTGCGATTTCCTTCGTGTTTTTTTCTGTGTTTTTTTTTTGTGTGCGGACTGTTGCAGGGCATGCGTGACCCACAATTTATATATATATATATACATATACAGAGAGAGAGAGAGACGTAAACACTTGTTCGGAGGAACAAAAATATCCTATTTTGAATGGGGTGGGGGCGTATCATTCCTGATTTCAACGACGCTGAGTGACCGTGCCAAGGATTCTGCTGGCGGGAGACACAAATCGTTTGGTCGCTGAACTTACCTTTGTAAGGATAAATGATTTGGCAGTAGTTTGGCGGCAAAATTTGGGCAACTTGGTGGTGATTGGTATCGTTGGTTAAAAAAACCTCGTCTCACTCGTTTGCTTAGCAAGGGTACGGTTAGTTTGGATGTGTTTCAACAGGGTGAAACCATCAACGTCAACCACCAGTGAAATATGATTTTGTTGTTGTACAAAAAACAACACTGACAAGTAACATTTTTGATCCCTCGTTTTGTTTTTTTTAAACCATATAATGCCGTATATATAATTCCATTGTTTGCACATGTTTTTACGCATTGTGCACATGGTTTTTTGGTGTCGTCCTCAATGCCCGGGGCTGAATTTTAATTGTTTTTTGGCATCAATTCGAAATTTCAACTTGCTCACAAAATGAAATCCATTTGAAATCAACATGAACAAGGCCAACTTGTATAATTAGTCCTTTATCGTCCTTTATCTATACCTTTGTTTTTTCATTGAAACTACGATGAACGAGACTCTGTTATTTCGCAATAAGGCGGCAGTTCCCAACATTTGAACATGTGTGTGTAGGTGATTCAGCGGATGTTTTCACGTTGCACATCTCCATGATGGACATGACGAGTAAGATGGTCCCCATTCCCGTTGCACATGAGGTAGTATCCGGCAATCGAACATGTCAAAGGAAAAACACACTTTAAAGCATGAGTATCAGGAAAATAACCTATGAATTGAATGGAATTGGTCACAATGGAGTGTCCATCGCAACGTTTAAAATCCCGGTTGACATAGTACGATTTTTTGTGCTTTTTGAGGCCCGGGAGGCTGGAGTCACAGTTTTTGGGGATTGAGCCCACCAGCATCAACCAAAACAATGTTGCACAGCAAAATACAGCAAATTGTTTTTTCAATGCCAACATATATTGCTGAAAAGATCACCTGCTCAAAAAATAACTTCTCTGGACTCTGGAACATATCTTAAAGGGATATGATCCTTGCCAAAATTGTAGAATAGAAGCTGGGGAGTACGAAAGTACGATAACAAAATGTAACCTCTGGTTCCATAATTCTTGATTCCTCAGAAAACTGGGGGTAAAATACATTCAATCTATTCCTATGTTTTTTGTTGTTCTATAATTATTGTTGGGCTCTGGTTGTGTGCCAGAATTGCGCTTCTTCATATTTCTCACCATTTACCAACTGTTCTATCATTGCGTATTCTATAACTGCGTGTTCTATAATTAAGTGTGTCTTAATTTTATTTTCTATATTTTTCGGCATTGTAGAACGGCCAAATTACTTGTAGAACAGCACAGCCAAATGACTATAGAACAGGCATCCGAATCCGCGAGTACAAAAGTACGGTATTTTACCGTACTTTTATATTCTTAATTTCGTTCTATAATTCTGGCAACGCCTGTATTGCTATTTTTTTTTACATTTATGGCCCGACATGCCAGCTACAAGTCAGTAGGTCAACCCATTTATGGAATGATCACCGCACAAAAGTCATCATAAGAAACAACTGGAGTTGAGGGTTTTAGCTGTAAGCACGACAGTTGTGATCCTCCCAGATCGCCACCGAACTGAGGCTCCCCCCGAGGCCGAGTCTCATCCAGTGGCGCTTCTGGAACACGTGGCTGGGTTAAGCAGGTTCTTTAAACATGATGGTGCGCATTTGTGCCGGCATGGTTCTGACATATGTTCGGACACTTATCCTCACATATATTTTGACATGTGGTTTGACAGTTATCCTCACCCCAAAGGTACTCTGACATGTAGTCTGACACTCATTTTGACATTTGAGCAACCGTAATTTCCCCGGCAATACTAAATATGTATTCGACGGACATTGGTTTATGGAAATTGATGGAAATTGTTAAAAACACGAGGTAAGCGATGGGACCTTCCCAAATTAGCGATACCCCTTTTCAAGGTTATGTCATCATATTTCTCTAATATCCACATTAGCGATACCCAAATATCACATATTATTCATAGTTCATCACATATATATATATAAATGCAGCAGTTTCCTGCAAGCGATACCCCCCAAGTTTACCATATATCATTATTGTACAAACGTGTGGTAAGCGATGGGACCTTCCCAAATTTGTGGATGTCCTTTCCGTGAACCTAGGGTTTTCACAATCGCTCATTTATATGTACATATTATATACACATAATTATTATATATGTACACATGTAAAATAAAATATGTATATTATGTATTTGATGCATATATTCATATACCGACTGTTTGCTGCTTAGAGCCAAGTGAAGAGGAGATGGGTGTGGGGGGGGGCAAGTTTAGTTTCCACTTGCAATATCATATTCTTGAAGTGGATGTTTTGGGGTCTTTTCTCCCATAGTCTGACTTAAACCAACGCCTGATTTATGAATCGGGAAACCTTTTTGTGCCATGTTGGACGGATCGACTGCATACGCATCTTGGGGGATGGTCATCAATCATACAACATTTATATATATATATACTATACCTGGTTGGTGGTTTGGAACATTTTATATTTTCCATAATATATGCGATAATCCTTCCCATTGACTAATATTTTTCAGAGGGGTTGAAACCACCAACCAGATACACACAAGTACCCCTCTTTTTTTGGTAGCCACTGAATTTTGCAGCTCTCGGCGACCGAGGTCATTACTTTCATCATCATCGCCAATGCTGTGGCTGGGATCTGGCCACAGGTTTTTGAAGGAACGTGTCATATCCGACGTGTTTCTCCGAAATTGGTCTTGAACTTAAAATACACCCAATGATTGCTCAAAGTATACCTCTATGACTTGAAGCACGACAACCCTTTTGTGATATGCCCATGTTGGTTGCTCAATGTTTTCATTTTGCTTGCTGAAGATCCATGTTTGGGTTGCTTTCCATCTCCATGGTGGTAGGTGAATCTTCAAATGTCCATTGCTGAATCTCGTTCTGTGGCCAATATCCAGATTTTGATGGTTGAGTATCTCCATGTTGAGTCGTTCTGATTCTTCTTGTGGATTAATATCCACAACAGGCCCATTTTCCCATCAAACTCATGCTATTTAAATCCAGGGCATGTTGCATTTTCAATATCATTTCCAAATGTAAGAGTTCGAGGGAAAAAAAACGCGTGTGCGGCATGCCAAGTGCCAGCCATGAATCCTTCTTCTGACGGGGAAAATATCCTCATTGTTGGTTGAAATCGGTCTATTACTCGTGCACGCCGCAGTTTCGCTGGTTTCTAGTTAAGACAATTTTACATCTTCAATTCCCGTTTTCACAATTTTCAGATTCCATCACTATTTTTTGCTGATTTCCGTTATTTTCTGCCCAAATCCCAAGATATTTCCAAGTCATCCTTCACCGAGGTGAGCTTGAGTTATATGGCAGATCCCCGCTACGAAGATTGGGAGGGCTGGGTGCCTGGGCTTTGCAGGAGGATGGTTGAACTCCCACAAACAAATGTGATTATTTGGGGTATCATTTATTGTTGGGTTTACCACATTATGGTGGTCTATATAGAAGAAGTTAGTTGTTTTTTTTCGTGTGCGTCTGCGTTGGCTAGCTCATTGCGTGTGTGTGGGGTCACTCCCATCCCTGGAAAACGGTTGATATACCCGGACATAATGTGCGTGTTCTCGGTGGATGACCTTCTCTCTTTGTTTGGTTGTTTTAGGCATGCGGCTGATACGGCGCCCTTGGAAGGGTTGCCAATTTTGAGATGTGCCATTTATGATCCCTTGGAAGGGTTGCAAATTTCAAAAATGAGGCTTGCGCAAATGGGGGTATAGGATTTGATTTTTTTTGAGTTTTTAACATGTTGCACATGCTGTCGTATATGATCATCACGGGGGGTGCGGGTGAGGGTGGGGGGGTGTATTAACGTTCTTGACGAGCACTTCCTTTACGTTACGGAAGATGTTGACATGCTGTCGTATGATCATCGGGGGGGGGGGGGGGGGGGGTGGGGGGGGGGATTACGTTCTGACGAAGCACTTCTTTACGTTACGGAAGATGTTTGACATGCTGTAGATGATCATCAGGGGGGGGGGGGGTTGAGGAGCTGGGGGGGTGTATTTAACGTTCTTGACGAGCACTTCCTTTACGTTACGGAAGATGTTGACATGCTGTCGTATGATCATCGGGGGGGTGGGAGTGGGGGGTGGTGGGGGTGTATTAACGTTCTTGACGAGCACTTCTTTGGTTACGGAAGATGCACACGTTGCACATGCTGTCGTATGATCATCGGGGGGGTGGGAGTGGTGGTAGGGGGGGGGGGGGGGGGGGGGGGTGTATTAACGTTCTTGACGAGCACTTCTTTGGTTACGGAAGATGCACACGTTGCACATGCTGTCGTATGATCATCAAGGGGCGGGGGCTGTCGTATGATCATCAAGGGGCGGGGGTTGGGTGGGGGGTTAACGTTCTTGACGAGCACTTCCGTAACTTTACGGAACACGTTGCCGTTGTTGACATGTTGCACTGTCTGACGCGCTTTTTGTGGATTTCTTGCGTGAACTTATTTTGGCCGTGGTCGGATTTTATTTGTATGTGATCAGGGCTCTGTTTAGATCACGATGGATCCCTTCACACCTCCGCGGAGGACGTTGGCAAGGAATCAGCGGCTGGGTTCGAATTTGTCGTTTTCTCTTGATTTATAAATGTTGACACTAAATGTATATGTGATCACTAAAAAACTATATTACATTGTTGTCAAAGTGGTTTTGCCAAAAAGCAAAGTGTTTGAACTGGGGACATCATGTTATATAAAGATTTAACATGGATGGATTGACTTGCTGACTTGGTTTCGGCATGATGATTATATAATATATAACAACTTGACATTTCAACTTTTATTATTGGGGGCTTGTTTCATGTTGACATGAAGAATCTCAACAGGTCGACTGTGGCTTCTGCGTTGCCACAAGCGCTCTGGCACCGCTAGCGTCGAGAAGAGGAAAAAACTGGAAGAGTGAATGCCGCCCTGATATGATTCGAATGATTGAAAATCATAGATTTCTAATGTTTTTTTTGACCCTTGAAGAGCAAAATCGAATCACCGCGCAGGCGAAACGCACATTTTCACTCTTGAGTCACACGCCTGCCAATCGAAATGAATGTCCATGTTGCAAACATTTTTTGACGACTCCTGCAAATACCAGCATTTTTTGTCTTACCTTCAAAAATCAGATTTTCAAATTCGTCACCCTTTCAAGGGCGCCGAGTCAACCGGTTGCCTTGTTTTACCATGTTTCGTTGAAAAAAAACCGCGAGATGACTGGGCCCCCAAATTATATAACTTTCATATTTCTGCGGTGGGTGGCTCAACCAGCCACCAGTTCTGATTTGTGCTTTGTGGTATCTCAGCCGGACACATGCCCTCTCAACGGCTATTTGTGCTCTCCATCCCAATGCATTTGTATAGGTTGAAATGGTGATGGTTGTGATTTGCTGTGACGCTAAACATGATTAGCCCAACCACAATACATAAACAAAAACAAACATCATGATCATGACCATGCTGATGATGATGATGATGGTGATGATGATGATGGTGGTGATGGTGATGATGATGATGATGATGATGATGATCATGATCATGATGATGATCATGATGATGATGATGATGATTATGATTATGCGGCGGCGGCGGCAGCGGCGGCTGCTGCTGATGCTGCTGATGATGATCAGAGGGTCCCCCAGAGGGTCCCACCAACAAGCTGGTTGACAACGGACTAACCTCTCACTAAAAGGTCGCAATATTTTTTAGCTAGATGACTTAGAGCGACCTCAGTTGGGACCCGGCCCGTTCATTGATGGCTAATTGAAATAAAGTGAACATATGGGAACACATTAGTGTAATCAATTTTAAGCATGTATAATTGGTATATCATGAAGATATTGTGGGTGTGTTTGTATGTTGTATATCATCAAGATGAGGATTTAAGCAACAATTATATAATTGAAAAGCAATGGTTCGGAACTTATGCATTGGCTACGCGGCTACGTCGCCATTTAATAAGTTACCCATCCTTTCCAGCTGAGATCAAACCATTCGGGGGATGTTCCTGCGTTCTTCCTATATTCTCGAAAATGCTGAGGCATACGTGGAGCTGTTCTTTGCTTCATTCATAGTGCTTGAGATCCTCATTCGGATGTACACCGAAGGACCTTTCGAACCAGTCCGCGGAGCCGCTGACTCGCTCCCAACCGAAAACCGGGGCTTCAAATGTAAAAAAAGCTGGATCATCCGACATTGGTATGCAGCACGAATGATGTATCATCATCACATGGCGATTACTGTCACACGTGAATGCATGTGTGATATGATAGTTCCTTCATGTCATTTCATACTTAGTCATACTTGAATAAGATTTAATCATCGTTTGTGATGAGCTTTGCCTTCGTTGTAGATTGCTATGTTGAATAGCTGTGGTTTCGCCCCAAACGTGTCAAAGTGCGACCTTTATTTTGTGTCTGTATCTAGCCTCGCAGGCCATGAACATACGCCGAGAAAATTTTCCGCGAGGTTGGAGCGCTGAAAAAGGCATGCATATATGTACACCTTGCAGCTCATATTGGTGTGAATATACTTTTTCTTCTGGGGAGAAAAACCCATGACCAGGTGCAGAAATCATCCCAGTACCCGAGCCTTGCACCACTTTAGTGTCATTTCTCCAGCAATTTTTGCGGGAGGATGTCGTACTTATTGGCGTGGACAAGAGATGCTTGGCAAGTGATTTCGTGGTGTTCAGATCCGGATTGTATACAGCCACGGTTGTCAGAGTTCCTGTTCTGTATGTTTTTTTGATTTTTATTGATAAGATTTGATAGGTGGGGATGGCATTTGGCGTGGTAACTGAACCAGCACAATCAGATGAAATATACCTGTCAAACATGGTGATTTGCGAGAGGGTATCCAAGAAACAGTCATACATATTCATCGCAACACAATTTCTCAAGCCCACACATGTCAAATTAACACTGCAAAAAATCTGGTGACTACTGACCAAAACCCGTTTTGATTGGTTATCATCTAAGGTTTTACAGATTTTGACATGACGCATTCTCGGAACGTGGTTCTCAACAAGTTTTAAGCAAACACATGTTGGTTTTCAAACACTGCTAAGTGAGCTTGGTGATTGTGTTTAGCCCAACCCATCGATGTCCTTGTTCCTTTTTTCCACTGGTTGATTGAGGAGTTTCAATGGTGAAAAAACAATCACCAACCAATTTTTTCCTCCAAAATGGACTTCCTTTTGTCCCAATCTGGTTGGTATGTTTTCCACATCAGCTGCCAGGCTTGACAAGCTGGGTTTACCAGTTTTAACCCATCCTTTTCTCACATGCGTAAAAATTAATTGGGGCCTGACATTCATCCAATATCAGACAGCCAAGCATCCCTTTGTTGGGTTGTAAATCCCACTACATCCTTATTATATTTATCCTCATATTGTTGTTGGTTGCATGTCCCCATGCTTTAGGGTAAATCAACCATGTTCAATTTTCACACGCCCAAGAATCATAATGTTGTTATATTTCCCCACTCCAGCCCCATGTATCATGACGTTGACAATTAACATTGCTATTTGAGGGTAAATCCCCATGTTTCAACACACTGACATATCACGCATAGACATGCACCAATGTCTTATCTCGTATAAGACATAATGGGGATATCTTCAATTTTAGACCCCCCCCCCATAATCTCTGAGAAGTTCGATCTCTGAGCGTGTTGGATGTCAGTGCCCTCCTGAAATGGCCAAGCACTCGCTTGTGCCCTAGATTTTTCCCTCGCTTGTGCACTGGGTTTTCGCTCGCTTGTGCACTGGATTTGCTTTGGGCTGAGACATGAAGTATATAATATAGAGCAATATTGCGTGGCAGGTGCGTTACTTGCATGTGAGGAAGGAAGGAGTCGCAGTGAAAGCGGGGGATTGTCTCTGACTTGCGTTGCGCCGTTTGCCGAAACCGGCACGCCTTGCATTGTGTACTTGCTGCCGTGCCTGCACGTGGCAGGCGTGACGCTTTCTTCTTCTTACATTACTTTTGTATGGCAATATGAGTGCAAGCCATTGTGACTGAACGTTATTATCCCGTGCACGTGTCAATGCTCGAATGCTCGTCGCCATTTTGGTGCGCGTGTGAAGGTACGTTAACATCCCACCCCACCCCACCCCAGATGCGCATGTTGATGAATATGAGTGCAAGCCACTGTGACTGAACGTCATTATTCTGCGCACGTGTCAGTGCCCATTCTGTGGTGCGCATGTGAAAGAACGTTAACATCCCACCCCACCCCACTCCACACTACACCACCCCCGCCCACATGCGCATGTTGATGAATATGAATGTAATTTCCCAGGGGGTTGGCTGATTGTTAGCTGTGTCAGTGCGCAAGTGAGTGAATTTTATGTCACTCAGTGCGCAAGTGAGGAAATTTCCGTGAGCAAGTGAGTGTGTTTTTTGAAACCGGGTCGCCCTCGCCAAAACCTTCGACCGATTGCTAAACCCATGGACGATGCCCTCGAGCTGACATGTTCCATTCCCCGACATGTCGATGCATGGCTGGAAAATCCCCAAAAACCGAGGTTGGGAAGATTATCAAACTAAATGGGCTATTTTTCTAGCTGGTCACCTTTGATACTGGCTAAATCGAATCAATGAAGGAATTCACCAGAATTTACCCCATCATCAACCCCATCATGGTTGAGATCAACTTTTTTCTTGACCATTGAGTGTAAGTTTCGTGACAGGAAAGCCTGGAACCTCTTTGATGTCCTACTGGCATCAGTCTCCTGGGCCGATTTGTTGTTCTTCCAGGCCACGGTGTGATACGAGGGGCCACGGCACACGCATAGAACAATTGGAAAACACCAGGGATTCTGGGCCAAAGAAAATGGGGATATAGTACAGTAAGCAACAATAACAACAAAGGAATAGATTTAAATAAGTAACATTACACTTGAATTTTGATGATTTAATATATCTACCACAAATCCTGCTTTGGAAACGGCACTTGAAATCATAGCAAAATTAGCTGGTCAGGGGCCAGCTACATTTACCGTTAAATCATTACTCCCAGTATGTCCTCAATATATCACCACATGTTGTGGGGTGAATCCTCCCGCAAGAACAACTCGGAGCTCTTTAGCGCCTCCTTCCTTCGCGTTTGTCGCTTGATCCGACTTGTGCGGGTCATGCGCGTCTTCCGATTGAAGGTCTTCAAGGACAGGGGCACAAGCCGCGACCCGGCCGGCTGAGGTTTTTTTGACAACTAGAATTGGGGTGTTTATATTATTTATTTACTGTTTTTAAATTATCGATATTATATATATATATATATATATTTATTTATTTATAGATATAGATATTGATATTTCATGGGTATATATATATATATGAGATATAATTGAATGGGACTCAAGAGATTGTTGAAAATCTGCAGGTGTATAGGGAATTATCGAGATATCATCGGGATACAAGCCAAGAGGGTGACATTTTGAATGTGAGTGAATGTTTGAGCCTGGGGTTTGTACCTTTCTACCCCCAACAACAGGAATGCAATCTTTTCATGGAAGATCGAAAATTGCCCTTGCAGGAGGTGCAACATGGTACAACAGGTGATCCTCCCAGCAAGAAATAGGTTGGGGTACCTGCGGGTACTCCATTAACTCATTAACCCATTTGAAACAAGCATTGCAAATGTAGAGTATCTGCAATGTAGGACGATGTAATTACTTTACTTCTGGTGATCCCCGCTGTGACAAATTATTTTGCCATAGTTTCTGACATCTCATTTGGAAGCATTTATGGCATATATGTTCTGACAATCTATTCTGGCATTCTATCTGACACTCTTTTCTGACTTTCAATTCTGGCATTCTATCTGGTATCTATTCTGACATCCTGTCTGGAATCCTTTCTGGCATCTATTCTGACATTTTCTTTGGCATTCTATCTGGCATTCTTTTTCATATTCTATCTGGCATCTATTCTGACATTCTTTCTGGCATCTATTCTGGATTTCATTCTGGTGTTCTTTGTGGCATTCCATTCTGCCATTCTATCTGGCATTCATTCGGGCATTCTTTCTGGCATCTATACTGGCAATAATAGCATTAATTCGGCCATTCTTTCTGGCATGGGCACTGCCGGACCTCGCGGTTGAGATCTCTATTCATGCAGGGGCATTCTCACAGTGCCCACTGAGATCTGGCGCTCGCGGTTGAGGTCCAGCAGTGCCAGCTGAGATCTCGCGCTCAGGGTTGGGGTCTGGCAGTGTGGCACTCGTAGATGAGGTCCGGCGGTGGCCATTTTGAGACCCGGAGCCTGCAGTTGAGGTCTGGTGGCCACGGAGATCTGGAGCTCGCGGTTGAAGTCTGGCAGTGCCCACTGAAATCTGGAGCTTGCGGTTGAGGTGCGCCACTGCGATCTGGAGCTTGTGGTTGAGGTGCGGGAGTGCCCACTGCGATCGGGAGCTCGCGGTTGATGTCCGGCAGTGCCCACTGAGATCTGGAGTTCGCTGTTTGGGGAAGGAGAAAGGAAGGAGAAGGAAGGAAGGAGGAGAAGGCCACTCTAAGGAAATCTACGAACCCTCACTTGGCAGGTGGGGAAAAAATCAAATTATTGTATAATTAACCATGTTCGATCTATTTTTGGGATAAACATCCATTGGCAGCAATGTTGATGTCCACAAGATTCAACAATGATACCATGGCTTTGATCCATAACCAAAATGATTTGATCAGATTGCATTGGTAGGTTGACATCGGGCAAAGTTTGGCGAGCTGTTGTTTGATGGCTTCATGTTTAAGTCAAAAACATGAAGGGCTGAAGTATTGTAACCTCCATGTGTCCATGTGTAGACGAGATTATATAATCTGATATCATCACTTTGCCAAATTAAACTCCACTTCCTTGCATGTACATATTCAATAATCAAAACGTTGGCCGCCCCTTGAATCCTCCGAAAACAACTGAAGGTAATTGTTAATGACGTCATCATTAACACTCCACTCCTCCACTTGAAAACATGCCCCGCATTGCCCACCAGATGGTTCAGCTATCCCTTGGCGGGGCCTAGCTGTTGCGGTTCCTACCTTGGTGAGGAGTTGCGCTTGATGGTGAAAGGCCTGCTCGCTGGTCTCTGGACCGTGGACGCCGTGGAGACTGGTTGGTCACTGGGTCACTAGTAAACTCAGTGGAGACAAGTGGATAGCAACCCCCAAATAGATAACAATTGAAACCTGGAAATTTCATGGCAAATATAATCTATAACATTCCGGAAAGACTTGTGGATGGAAAGTCTTTGTGGCTGTTTTATGTCGTTGGTGTTTAACAGAATCACTAGTATAAACGGTTTGCCTTAGATATTGTTAGATATATCTATACTTAAACGGGTTCAATCCCAGCCCCGTTCAGATTCTAAATATACTAATCCCTTGCATCTACCATGGTTTTTGCGAGACGTTGAATATTAGGGCGAAGGGATTATAATATTTAGAGACACGCGAACTATATTTGCCCTTATCTATATTGCAAACCATATTGGGGGATTTCATTGGGTATATGTACAACCAACAAACTTGTTATTTGAATGTATTATATAGATAATGAGGATATAACTATCCATATATATATATATATATACATAGTTTAATTGGATACTGTTACTGGGGTTGATATATTACTGGATATTTTTTTCAAAAAATGCGTTCCTCTTTGTCGGGTAAACCCTCACCATAGAGGACCTACAAACAGCAAGGAGAGCAAACCGGGGTTGTGCACCTATCATGTACCCAAAAAACATGTTCGCAGCATTGGGTGTACCACAACAGTTGGATTCAGTTATCTGAAAACTTTGACCAAATCATTGGAGCATGGGTTTGTTTGAACCACTGACTGGCTGATGAAAAATGAATATTGAGTTTTAACAGCACCAACCAATGTGAACATCAGAGAGCATCCGCTGACTCCTCTGGCATGATCTGGCTGAGTTGGCAGTTTTCTTCCAACGCCTTATTGGCACAAGGTGGTGCATCAACCCAACAGTCATTTGAGATACAGTATGTTTACCAACTTAACCAACTATGCTATGGTTATTTATCTCCATGACATCCCCATGATATTTCTATAATCTATCACCGCCTCGCAGGACACTGTCCATTGCCTTTGTTTTGCTCTTCAGCGTCCTTTACATGATTGCTGGCTTTTCCACTGTAGCCATAGGCCCAAATTGAAACGAACCAGCTGCAACCTGTTGGAAAGCGTCAAATTGATGGCCTGAAATCAAGTGTTGGAGTTAGGAATGTATACATCGTATATATTTATGATTGTATATAATATATTTATCCATGCACATTAAAAAAATACACAACTGACACATGTGTATACACATTTATTAAATACACAAATGCGTGACATAGTACAGATATAAGTAAACATACATGCATGCATCCATGCATCCAAGCATCCAAACATCCATCCATCCATCCATCCATCCATCCATCCATCCATCCATCCATCCATCCATCATACATACATACATACATACATACATACATACATACATACATACATACATACATACATACAGCCATGCATCCATCCATCCATCCATCCATCCATCCATACATCCATCCATCCATCCATACAGCCATACATCCATCCATCCGTCATCCGTCCATACATGCATACATGCATGCATACCTACATACATACATACATACATACATACATGCATACATACAAACAGAGATACAGCCATCCACCCATGCATGTATTGATGGATGCATGCATGCATGCATGTGCATAACACATAGCTTAACATAACCTTGCAAGGCACAACATCACATAACATAAGGAACATCACAAAGCATAACGTAGCATAAGATAAGAAACATCAAAAACATGGCATATCAATACACAACTTTTCATATACAGTATAATCATATAGAACTATATTCATATGTACTATATATTTTCATTTGTTATATATTTATGTTTGTATTTTATACTTATATTTATATTTATATATGTATATACAGAGTCAGAGGGGAGGCCGACCCATGGTGCTTCAGATGATGCTTGAAACGTGGACGGTTCCTGTCACTCCCAGCATCGCCGGTGCGGTTAGCTGGATTAGTTCTCAGTTGTCTCCCTGGTAAAATGCTGGACAAACTACTGGTTGTTGCTGTCTTGCTGGTGATTTCATGTCCCCAATTTTTTGTGCTGCAAACCCTGGGAAACCCTGGGAATGACAGCATGAACGTCAAGATACACATGACAGTCAGAGCTATGTATATAGCAGTTACGGTACCATACTGTATATATCTGGATATGGATGTATATTTGCAGGTATCACATCAAATTACCGCATGTCACATAACATCACATAAACTGCAAGTGCCATTTATTCTTATATCCTAACATCAGAAGTAATCCGTACTAAATGGCTGATCATACCCATGGCATGATACCCTCCCCTTAGTTCACGTGGACGTGGAGGCCAAAAAAACGTACCACTAACATGGACGTGCATCTGGTAAAAAACCATCAAAATTTAGCTAACAAGGACGTGGTCCTCCAAAAAGTAGCTAATTCTTGTGCATTAACATGGACATGGCAAATTTTCATATTTTGGTAAGTTCCCCGGGAATGCCCCAAGAGAGAGGTAGCCTGTACACCCAATCCTGGGAGCGTCCATGTCAGTGGACCTGTGACATGTGTCAAACTAACATGGACGCTTGCGAAACTGGCAAAAGTAAGAAAAACAACTAACATAGTACGTGCGTACATTTTCTCATTTTTCAGCGTCCTCGTCAGAATACTGGAGAGTAATATTGCAAGTGTTATGATACCCTTCATATCATCCTTCTGCGGTTGCTGCGCCCACATCCCGGGTGGGCAAAAGCCCCAGTTTCCCGAAAAAAACGGTTTCAATGGTGATGAACTAGGAGTAAATCCATGTACTGTAACTCCCTCATGTTTGGACAAACCCGTCTGGTTTATTTAAGTACAAGACCATTTCAAGTCAACATGTTTTTTTTCACCATCCAGGTTAGTTTGTTTAATGATTCTTGTTTTTTTGGTGGTGGGGGGAGACCAAAAGAAAATCTTTCGGACCCAGTCATCCGGCCCCGGTCTCGTGGAGGCAATGATCGGAGAACTGCCGAGCTGGGTTTGAATGATCAATTTCGTTCAATACCTGAGCCTTGGAGACCTCCGGAATGGGTGCATGATGCTACAAGTAGGGATCTAT